CTCTCCTACAGTGGGCCTAAGGTCTTCAAAATGCAGCACTTGGGATTGTCCCTTGAACAGAGGGGTCCTTCCTTCCACAGCAGGCCTGTGCAGAGGCTCCACTCTCTTCCTGCTGACCCTGGCAAAAACTTCTGCATCCTGGGGAGTTGTACTGATCCCTCGAATTGGGATCTGAACCTGTGCAGGCAACTGGCCATTGATACAAATCCAGTTTGGCTCAGCAGCAGAGGTGCAAGATGTCCCCAGTCAGAGCTGCAGAGCTGTGCATCAGTCTGTGCTTTGCAGAGTTAGCAAACGCTGCCACAGTGATAATAGCAGTAGAGACATCCAGTTCAGTCCTTGGTCACAAGGGGAGAGAAAGAGAGTGACTCCAAACAAGAGTACTGTCAATCCCCTCCAGAGGAGGGCTTGCATGTAACCTGGAGTCAGAGGATGCTGATTGTGTCTTAAGAGCTGGAATTGTGCATGGAAAATGGTGGTTGCTTGTTGATGTGTTTTGGCTCTTTTCTGTGTTTGCAGAGGAACCTGTTGGAAGAAGATTCAGATGAAGAGGAAGACTTTTTCCTGTGAGTTTCTGAATAGCTGCTCTAGGGAAAGCAATGTCTTAACTGTTTAAGCTCTGAGATTGCAGGTGTCGAATACCAAAAGTTGCTCCCTGCCTTGTAGCAGGGGCTTGAGAATCAAAACCTTCGATTCCTTTGAAATGAGGCTTGGCATCGAGCATCAGTTAGATTTAATAGGTGTGACCTTTATAAAAGCGGGGTATCCCATGTATCCTAAGACCTGGGAGGGACTGATGGGAAGTACGAGAACAATCCTTCATCCACAAGGCGTTGATTCTCTCTTGCATTTCTTTTGAGTCTGGTTTAAAAACATGTTTTCATTGTACCTTTCATCCTGATTGCTCTTTTCTGCCTGCAGGAGAGGGCCTTCTGGACCAAGATTTGGACCGAGGAATGACAAGATCAGGCAGTAGGTTGCTTTTTCTCAGTACCAAACAGATAATATTTTATTCTGACACTGAGCTCCTGCACTGTCTTAACTATGTGCTTCTGTGTAGTTTGGAATATGAAAGTGGCTTGTGCTTGCTTTCTTCTAACTGACATTTCCTTCCATACATGTCCACGGGTAAGGGAAATCTGAAATTTGATCCAAGTTATCAAGAAATCGTGCATTGACAGAGGCAAAGGGATAGGATTGTATTGCAGTAGACTAGTGGAGTTTCTAAAGCTCTTGCTGTATTCTGGTGATGACCTGTTTCATGCTTTTGAGGCTTACTCTCTGGAGCATTAACCCTGAATTCTAACCTTCGCTAGCACCATTTTTTGTTGCTTTGTTGCTTTTTATTTCATCCTGTAATTTGCTTCTCAATGTTACAAGAAAGCAAGTGTTCAGGAACATACCAGGACCATGTTTTTTGGTCAATGGCTAGTTCTCTGGCCTCCTCTTCTTAAGATAAAAACCTGATATAGGTCACCTGAAGATGTGTGGTGACTCAGTGGGGTCAAAGCAGCTGGAAAACAGGAAACCATTATGGCTGGAGGAGGATTACTGAGTGGATTAGGGCAAGGAGGAAGGAGTGAACACTCTAGATCTTTTCCCATCGAATCATTTCCTGGATGATGCTTGTTCTGGGTTCCAGTTTGTCCTGCCCTTTCTTATGAGGGATGCATTGGTGGTATTTAATGGAAAAGAGGGGGGATATTCACAGTCTCCTGATTTGTGTTTTACTCTCTCCTTTGCTGACCTCCGCAGAGCCACAACAGAGATGTATGCAGGCACTGATGACCAGGCGTTACTCAGACTGGGTTGACCTGTGTGCAGCCTGAGTGTTGCTCTTCATTAGGGTTTTTTCTTCATGCCAGGAAGAAGTCAGCACAACCTCTGAGATGACTCATTGCCAGTGTCAGTGTTAGTGCATGCTTGTGTGCCTGCTCGCCACGTTACCTTGAGGAGCAAAGGGCAGTTGAGTTGCACAAGAGGCATTGAGTTGGTCACTGTGCTCTGTGTTTTCAAAGGATCTCTGTTCCCTTCAGGGTGTGAGGATGCTGTCGGTAGAGGTGCATTACTCTGGCCCTTAGAGTAAGCCAGTGCGGGTAAAGCCTTCCTCTAGATCAGAGCCAAACTGATCTGGAGTGGATAAGAGGGATGAGATTTGGTTTTATGAGTGGGGTCCTGCCCTCTAAAAAGGTGGAGAGGGGGTGACATCTATGCCTTTGTCCTCCAAAGGAGGGGCTTAGATAGAGGAATGATGCAGTTCACTCTCATTTCAACAGAGGAGGAAAAGGAAGGTTGGAATTCAGTTACTGCTGAAACACTGTAAGGAAAAGACATTTGAAGGAGGAATCTGAGCATTTGGAGAGCTGAAACATAGCTGGGTAAAGCTAGAGACTAGCTGTGTCTGGAGGAATAAGGTGTGAAGATAGGTGTAAAAGGAAACTGGATGCAGGATTGGGTAGAGGAAAAACTGATGGGATTATCGGAGGAAAGGTGTGGAACATGTTGAATGTGAGAGGCAAGACTGGAAACATTTTGTAGTTGTCCAGTGAAGGGACTTGGGTCAGGGTGGTGAGTTTGGCAGCAGAGACCCTCAAGGCTGGCTCAGCTGCAGAAAGAGATGGTGGGGAACACTGCAAACCCCATGGGGGAAAGAGATGAGTTAGAGCCAGCAATAGTGGCAGGAGGAAGCATCACATTCCCCTCTGTGCTGCATTTTTGTCTTGATGTGTCTGGAAGTTCAAGCTCTGTCCCAACAGCTGCTCTGCTGGGGGAGACACTCCTCTGGTAATTAAGTGGCTGCATAGGGTTCCTTAGGCTCCCTCTGAGACCTCCGTGTCCCTGGGGAGGGCTGGAGCTGAAAGGCAGCTTTTAATAGTCTTCTATCCTTTTCCCGAAAGTTATAAAGAACAGGTAAGGGAGAGCTTCTCTCTCTTCTCTGCTGTTGCTTCCAGGCTATGTGAGAAGTACTGAATGTGTGTCATGAGAGCTTTTAGTGCCTTTTTGGGGAAAGGTGAGATGTTCATCTTCCACCTGTTTTATTTAGAACAGGAGCCTCTCATCTCAGCTCATATTTTCAAAAACAATCCTAAAATCTCCCTCTTCTCTGTGCTGCTTCATTTCCTTCACCACTGATGTTTCTGCTTTCAGGTGGCTGTGCTGCTGGCCTTGCTTGTGCTGGTGATGAGGCTGAGCACGCTGCCATGGTTTCCCTGGAGTCTGTGGTTCTGCCATTGTATTGCTGAGGGTGGCCAGTATCCCCAGCACTAGGGCTTGGCCTCAATGGTTCCGTCCGGCTCTAAGTTGTATCCTGAGGAGAGGGAGGGTTTGGGGAATGGTTCGAAGGCAAGAGTTGACAGCAGCTTTACAGGGCCTGGCTGTTCATCACAGGTTGCTCATTATGCAGTGGACCTCACGCATACTCCAAGCTTTCATTCAAAGGTGATACTGAGACCATGTTGTCAAGCATCATTGTTAGGTATAATCCTTTCAAGGACTGAAAGGCTTTAGGGAGGCATTGACTGCTGTATTCCTCACAGCTGGGATGAAACAGCAAAAAAACCCCAGTTAACTGTGGCATGGTTCAGTGCTGACACCCCATTGTTGAGTACAGCAGGGCTTTCTGCTAGGCAGCCTCTCTGCAGAGAGACACACCTTGGAGAACACTGTGCTCTGCTGGCCTCCTGCCTTTGCACTGTCCATCCAGCTTGGCTTTCCATCCTGTTCCCTCTTGCCTGGGTTACTGCCACAGCGTGGGGTGTTTGGGTTTAATGTGCACCAAAATACACAGCACTATTAATATTGCCGGGATGGAAAATACAAGTGTGTCATGCTGGCTGTAAACAGCCAGCTTGGAGACAAGAAGCAGCCTTGAGCAGCGGATCCCATGGTGCATGCATGGCCTGTTTATCATGTCTGAAGAATGCACCACTGTTGTTAGCCCTACACTGTGACCATCCCAGGGAGTTTTTCAGTAGCTAACCTGGAGTGGCCAAAATGGAAAGGCTTATTCTTTCCACTCTGGACCCAGCAAAGCACTAAGAAAAGAGGAGTCTAAACTAAGCTGAGTGCCGTTGAGTCTCGTTGCTTTGACAGTGTATGCTTGCTGTCCTTACTAAAAGCATCATATATACAGTAATTAGTAAGAAGGAGGGTCATGGGAGACATATTTTATGCTTTGGTCTTGCTCATTTTCTTGGCAGGTATTCTCCTTTGTCTTGGAAATCTGGCAGGAGCGAAGCACATGAAACGCATGTATCGAAAGCCAATAGCTCCTTACACAGGAAATACACTTTGTATTAGAGGATTCATTCTCTCTTGCCAAGTAAAGCAAGAAAATATGTTCTTCTTGATGTGACTTGAATTTCCAACCTTAAGCATGCCAGACTCATGGGAATTTCTGAGTTTGTTCTGAAACTGCAGGGCTAATGAATAGGCTGGGCACCTTTCAGACCCCTCCTGGAGAAACATGTCTTGCAGCCATGATGACTAGCTGGCTTAAGGTCTGGTTAAAGCACTGTGTGGAGAACAAAGTTTCATTCCCTGGCTTGGTCTCTTCCTTCTTGGCTGTTTTCCAGGGTTCTCTTTACATCAGATCGATTAGAGCACCAGAAAGTATGGGGGTCCTCAAATGTGTCTGTGTTCCACGGGAGATAAACATTTCAGTATTTGTGAGAGTTTAAGCCTTGATTTCTCTGTGCTTCCAATCTTGATCTGTGAAATGCTTTGGTCTTTTGGGGATGGCTAACAGCATGCCCAGGATATGAGCAGGTAGCGAAGGCATACAGTTTTCTGCCAGCAGCTCAAGTGAAAACAGGTGGGATGCTGATGCAGCTTGGGCAGGAGAGTCTGTGCTCCATAGGTCTCTCCCAAATGCTTGATGCACCAGGGCAGCTTCAAGTTACATACCTGCCCACTTTGCCTCAAACACTCTGGGGAGCCCCAGGACTACAGAACTATCTCTCCAGGTGCTGACCTGTACTGGAGGGATACCAGGTGGTGCTGCATATTCCTAGATGCACTGTAACCTCGTGTGCGCCCACTTGTTCATTGTACCAAGATTTGTACTGGTTTGTTGTAACCAGATTTGGTTACAAATCTGTTGTGGGAGGAAATATCTTTATTTTGCAGCCAGTAAACTATTCTAGAAACGTTTACATACTGCAGATGTAGTCTTCTGCCTGTGAAACTGATGTTTAAAGCCTTACAGTTTTTGCCAAGTTGGCTCATCTGGGATAGCAGATGTTTCCGCTTTTCCTCTCTCACCTCAAGCTGTAGCAGTATTGCTGGCAGCTCTGAGCTGGGATTTGTCCATTGTGCTCAGGTAAGGAAACCCCCTCACAGGGCATGCCTCCTCCTTGCATCTTCACCTGCTGCCCTGGGGAAGGGCCATAGGTCTGTGCATGTCCTCTGTGGGGTGGACGCTTTGCTCCACACGGCACCATCATATGTTTCCCAGGCAGCATCTGCCTGCATCTTCAATGCTACCTTCTGCACTTTCTCAATGGTGGCAGCTCTGCCACTTGCAGGGTGGCCACTCTGCCTTGTAAGAGGATCAGAACAGGGTGGTGGACATGGGGCATGTTCCTGCTGAGAGGCGTTGGGGGATTATCTGTGCCTTTCCCCTCCAGATAAGAAACTCCTGGCAGGTGGCTGCCATCGATATGGAGGCAGGAGCTGCCACCACACAGTGTAGGTGGATTCATAGAGATGCTGCTCCCACAGACTCTGCGATGCAGCACAGGGAAGGCAGGTTCCTTTCTAGTGGTGTCCTAAATAAAGCAAGTTTTCACATGCAGTGCTGGAATCCAGCATGTGCCATATGAGGGCTGTTAAATCGGAAATTGGCTTCAGAGGCATTGCCTGGCTGTTCCAGCTCTGGAAGCCACAGTGGTGCTACAGAGCCTGACCTGAAATGCTAAGTTGGAAGCCCCTTCATATTCAAAGATCTGGAGCTCTTTCTAGAGCTTTTGGACAGGAAAAAAAAAAAAAAAAGGCTTTTAATGACATTCCTTTGGAATGATAAGTCAATGTGAACAAGGCATGTGCTTTTCCTTTGTGACCACTATTGCTTGTGGCAGCTGCTCATGACATTCATCTCGATGCAAGCGTCTGCATGGCGAGATGTAGCTGGTAGGGAGACAGGAGAAATAGGTCAGTGTGAACCTATGTCTCTAGTCAGTTAGTGAGATGGTGGCTGGGATGGTGCCCTGCTCCTGATTCTGCCCCATTGACTGGCCTTGGGCAAGTTGCTCTGAGTCTCTCTTGGCCATGGTGGAGGATAATGCTGTCCTCGTCATACCAAGTGCTCTGAGCTTAGGTGCTGGATGATGGCTAAGTGGTGGAGTTGGGGCTGGTGCTGCTGTAAAAACCCTGATCTGGCAAATAACTTTGAGCTTCTGCATCTGAGATGGGTTTTGTGTGATCTAAAGAGGATGGTGTGACTGGATAATTTGGGGAGTGTGGATGCTAAGCAGGTGCTAAAGACAAGGTGCTGGCAATCCTTTCCCTTGGGGACACCAGTGCCACACTGTTAATAGGAGGAGGTGTATGTTCATGATAATGTGGAATGCTGCTAAAGTGGACTATTTGTGCTGCATATTTAGCAAATGCTGGATGCATTTTGATATGTTCAAAGTGCTTAGATGTTTCTAATCGAGGCAAGCTAACATGTCAAACCCAACACATATGGAGAGCAAGTGGCCTGGAGCTATTTCTGGTTTGTTGCCCTGTGTGTGTGTCGCATTGCCTCCAAGACATTGCTGTTGCCACTTTCTGGGAACGGTATGTCTCAAACAATTGTATTGTCTCTCTAGGGCCCCAAGAAATTTCTTATTTCTATCTCCAGGAAAATCAAAGCGTATTAGCTCTAAAATACAAACCAGAATGTAGCAGTATTTTTCCACCAGGAGAATTTTTCTCTCTTACCAATGTGGCTTTTTTATGGAATGAATAAATGCATTTATAATAACCCTGCGGGTGTGATTTAGGCTACCGTTCACTGAAGCAACTACCCACAGAGTTGCGTAACCTATGAGAAGATGGATTATAATAACTTGGTTTAGTTTGTATCAGCCATTTCTTTACTGTCCTCTTGATGCCTCTGGCAGAGCAGGGTTCATTTAGCAACTCAGTCCCCAGAGGTGTGAATGCATCTTGCTTTGATTTCCCCTAGTTATTTAGCGAAGCTGCAGTGCGAGGTTCTGTGAAATCTGGAAAGATAAGGTGTAGTTTTTATACTTTCTTTCCCTTTGTGAGCTCTTCTGCAGCAGAGGTGCCCACCAACAGCAACTCGTGCCTTTTCACACTGCATTTGTGTGTTAAAGATGTTACAGAGGGTGTCCTGTGCCTGCTGACTTCCCAATACCCTCTGAGCCCCTTGCGTTCTCCCACCCTTGCTGGGGTTGCCAGAGAGCCACCCCAGGTGATGCCATGCCTCTTGCTTTCTGGTATCCCATCAACCTCCCTCCAGTGTTGTCCCCTTTGGTTTTTGTCAGTGAGCTCTGGGATCCCACCATCTTGGACAGCTCTGAGCAAGGGCTGGCGCTGCAGAGCACAGCTGGTGGTGTTTGCTTCTCCTCTTTACGCTGCCTTTGCTCTGCTCTAGTGTCCAGAATCAGGTGGATGAAGTCATCGATGTTATGCAGGAGAATATCACGAAGGTGATTGAAAGAGGCGAGCGGCTGGATGACCTGCAGGATAAATCAGGTGCGATGCTAAATGCAGCTCTGCTGACTTGTTCCCCACATCTCTTCACTGCTGCTCGGCCAGGTTACCTGTTTTCAGCTCAGAATGACAGACATGGGCTTCTATTTCTGCCCTTCCTGGGAGAGGCATTTCACAGTCGTAGGCTGCAGATCTGACTTTCTGCTGACATTCCCTTTCCACCTTTGCCTTCTGCTGCTCTGCATAGGGGCATTAGTTTGGAGGCATTTGGGTACTGTGACATAGTTGGTCCTTCAAGCAAAGGTAGATTGATCTGTTTCCCGATGGCCTGGAGCACTTCTGTTGTCTGCTCCCCTGCTGGCTAGCAGAGCAAAATCCTGTCCTCAGAGGGCAGCCAGTACAAAGGGGGCTCAGTGGGACTCTGACAGGTCTGCGTGTGCTCTAGCGAAGGGCGTCACATTGGCGTCTGCTGTTGCTTTGGTGAATCATGCTGTGGTTGGGTCTTTTCCCCTACTGCAGAGTTTATTGCTTAAAACTCAGTGGAGTCAGTAGAATGAGTGGATGCTCCAACTCTCTGTGTGTGCCACTGAATCACCTCTTTTCTTTCCTTTGATAGAGAGTTTATCAGACAATGCCACAGCTTTTAGCAACAGAGCCAAGCAGCTTCGGAGACAGATGTGGTGGCGAGGCTGCAAGGTGAGCAACAACGGGAACAGGCAGGGGTGGGTTTGTAGAAGAGAAGGGATGGAGAAGCTCTGCTTTCTAGCTGAAAAGATGCTGGAAGGCAAAGACCTTCTTTCAGGTCAGAGCAGCTATACGTGTAACATGCCTCTGTGCTCTTCTTGCAGATGAAGGCAATCATAGCACTGGTGGCAGTCATTCTTCTGCTTGTGATCATCGGTGAGTAGTTCCAGGTCACCTCAGCCGTATGTGGCATAGAAATACTTGTGGCACTCCACACTGTGAGTGCCACCATGGCGCTTCTGTCCTTGTGGGAAACCACCTGAGCCACTCTATCAGGCCCTTCTCTGCCTTAGCATGTCATAAGCGGTGTCTGTAGACCACTCTGTGCTCCTCTTCTACAAGGCTTAAATGCGCACACAGAGAGGCAGGCTCAAACCAAGTCCTGTTGACTGTGGCCAAAGAAAGCCAACACTGCCCAGCCAATATTGTGTTGATCCAGGGCTGGCACCCATAGATCCTGAGGCTGGTGGGAGTAGATGGAAGAGTTTTAGACCAGAGCAATGGCTTCTAAAGGCCTCTCCACGTATTATCAGCCAACTTGCAGTGGGTCTGCTTCCTGCACATGCTCTACCCCAAAACTGCTGGGCTGCTTAATTTTCAGCAAGTAGCTCTTGTGGGTCTGACACTGGGCTCCTCCCCTGCCCTCTGCCTTTCCCAGTCTCTCTGGAGCTCCCCAAAGCAGAGATGTTACTGCTTTCCCTCCCAACCAGGTAATGCCAA